GTTCCCTGGGGACTAAGCTAGACATGAGTACAACCTACCACCCACAAACAGACGGGCAGAGTGAGAGAATGATACAGACTTTAGAAGATATGCTGAGAGCCTATGTGATTGACTTTGGAAAGGCATGGGATATCCATTTACCCCTTGTCGAATTCTCGTACAACAATAGTTATCATACAAGCATAAAGGCTGCTCCGTTCGAAGCCCTCTATGGTCGAAAGTGTAGATCCCCTATGTGCTGGACTGAAGTTGGCGATACCCATTTAGCTAAAGGAAGAGTTCCTGAAAGCACTCTCACCGGTCCGGAAATCATACGAGAAACGACAGAGAAGATCGTTCAAATTCATGAACGATTGAAAGCCTCTAGAGACCGACAGAAAAGCTACGCCGACCAAAGGAGGAACCCTTTGGAATTCCTGGTAGGAGACCACGTTTTATTAAAGGTCTCACCGTGGAAGGGTTTAATACGCTTTGGGAAGCGTAGGTAACTAAATCCTAGATACATAGGGCCTTTCGAGATTCTTTCCAGAATCAGCCCTGTAGCTTACAAGCTTAACCTACTGGGTGAACTTAGTAACATACATCCAACCTTCCATGTCTCAAACTTGAAAAAGTGTCTGTCCGATGAGACTCTTGTTATTACACTCGACGAAATCGAGATCAACGAGAGCCTCAACTTTGTGGAAGAACCGGTAGAAATCATGGACCGAGAGGTCAAACAAACAAAATAAAGTCGCATACCCATCGTGAAGGTTCGCTGGAACGCCAAGCGGGGACCTGAATTCACATGGGAACGCGAAGATCAGACGAAACAAAAGTACCCTCATCTCTTTCATGTTCACTAGTGTCTTTACTACTTTAAATTTCGGGACGAAATTCCCTCTAACGGGGGGATGATGTGACAACCCAATATTTCAACTCTTTGTAATAGCCTAATTGGCCAAGTATTGTAACCACTTTTGAGTTAATAAAATTTACTTTGATAATAAAATGTCCAAAAAGTTTCTATTTAACTACCTACTATGTTTTATATCATTAAACCGGGATCGTACGTAAAAAGAATGCCCAAACCCGGCTTCGTATACTGAAGTTAAGATTTTTCCAAATTCGACTTAGCAACAGTCAACTAAAAACTCGAATCGGAGATCGAGCGACTTTTGGCCGGAATGACCTAAACGAGAATCGAAGGTCTCGAAAATTGTATTTCAGCGTTAAAAAGTCTGGCAAAACCGACGTCAGATAAAGAAGTTATGAATTGTTTAAAGAAATTTCTTAATCACGACATTTTATAAATAAATAATAAAAATAATTTCGGAACTTGCCGACGGAATCTAAAGGAAAGTTGTAGAGTATGGTCTCACCTTCGTGGGGATACAAAGAACGTCGAAAACGGATTTCGTATGAAGAAGATATGAATTTTTGAAGTTTATTAAATAAATTATATATTTATTTAATTAAAAATTCGGTATTATCCGAAGGGGGAGTCAGCGTACTCATCCGAGTTACGCGCCGCATAACCCCATACGCCCCGCGTACGCGAAGGCCTTGGCCTCGGATCGTCCACGTCGTGCCTGTGCGAACTGCCGAACCGTCACATCCGAGCTCCGAGGCAGTCGAGGACTCGGTCATGCATGACATACGCGTACGCCCCGCGTACGAGCGTATGCCCCGCGTACCGAGGCGGTTCCGGTCTGCTATAAATAGGGATGCGAGGGTTCCTAGAAAAATTGGTCATTCTCTCTCACTTTTCTTGCGTTTTACCTCGTTTTCCGTGCCCGCACTACCCCGAAGCCCTAGTCATTTTGTGCAAGTCCCGAAGGTCGATTTTACTCCTGAGATTCCCGAGACTCCCGAGAAAAATCCGTTTCCCGAGACGAAACTCTGCCCGGTTTTCCATCTCGCTATCTTCAAACTTTCAAGTGAGTTCATACCCCTTAATTAACCCATTTTAAATATTCTAAACGCTTTTATATGCTTTCTAGGGGGGGGGGGGGAATACAAGTACAACACACGACTACTATCGGGTGTTATATATAAAGATTATTATACACTTTTATTAAGTAAAATCATATGTGATTTATAAACTTTATAGGGAACTCTCGTATACAAAATATATTACAATAGCATTCTATCTTTAAAACTATAAATTGTTGTAATACATGTATAAACTAAACATTTTTCCTAGATTTAAAGTATATGTGTCTATCTTAGGCTCTACAAAAATCTATGCTTTCATAACAAGTGATTCCTTTTCTAGATATTCTAAAACAAACGAGGCACACTTTTAGAAAACTATAATAGGTATAGTTTTATGAGGATATTACTAACTATTACATACTAGAAACACGATTTTCAGGAAATCACTTTCATGTACAATAACAAACGAACATTTCAACACGTAAATTTGTTTTTATACTACGGTTCTGTGAGACATTTACTTCACGTACGTTCGAGTACGCATTTCAAGTCCTGTATTATATACCAGAATCCCTTGGAGGGGGAGCATGGTGTTTGTGTATAGATCTATACGGTCTTGACAACCCGCGCCCTGACTGTTAGCTACAGTCCACCGTTTGGGGTGACAACCCGCGCCCTGACTGTTAGCTACAGTCCACCGTTTATTTACAAACTATATTTTGAGAATGATAGTTACACTTGAGTAAATTACACAATTTTACAGTAAACAAACATACAAAACAGTTAAGCCTTGGTAGAAGGCTACTTTAATAGAAAATATAGGTTTTTCTGAGAGATTCAAACTTTTACAAATACTTATAAACATTTACATACATTTTACAAACATACACTTGAGACATGTTCAAACGTTTTGATAACAAACACCGACACTAAAATACTTATGAACTCACCAGCTTTATGCTGATAAACTCTTTCAAAATAACTTGTATTCTCAGGTCATCAGTAGATAGGTACCGATGCCAGCTTTTGAGAAGATGGAGCACATCCAAGACTCTTCTTATTATTTTGATTTACATTATTTTTGGTGTCTATAACTGTAAAGAACACACTTGTATTAAAATTATATATTTAATGCAATGGATGATGTTGTTTGCTTGTTTAATTTTACTGTGTTGTGATACTTTACATGACGTCCTCCGCCCCAGAACGTTTCCGCAGACAAAGAGTTCACTAAGAACATACTAGTCACCACATTTGGTGCTGCCCCAGCCTCCTCAGTAGTAAGCTGGAAAGCACGACCTCGAGCCCTTGGGGGCTTCGCTCTATCCTGAATCCCATCAGTAATCCTCAAAGTAGCCAGAGTTGGAGCCTGCACCGGCCTGGCAGCGAGCGATGGACAGTTAACCTTCACATGGCTAACCTGGTCACAATGATAACAAATCCTAGAACTGAGTGTTGGAGCATGTTGGCGGCAATCCCTCGCCATGTGGCCCTGTCGGCCATAATAATGGCACCCAGATGATGATCGTCAAGCACCGTCATGCGTTTTGTTGTACTTGCCACAAGTGTGGCCCTTTTGGCCCCCAGATCTGACATCGGCAGTCTTAAACCACTTTGGCTCAGGTTACAACAACGCCAGGGACGGCCTCTGCTCTCTCGTTTGCAGATCAATCTCAATTCGTGCCACATGGCGGCCTCCTGCATCTCCAATAATGTACCATAACGCTGAGTAGAAACAAATTTTATGATCTCTGTCTTGAGCATCCTTAAGTAATGGGTCATATTCAGCGTTTACACGGCCGTGTAAATGCTACCCTTTAGTTTACACGGGTCGTGTAAACGTAAAAACAGAGCTGGACGATTTAAGGCTAAAACTCAATTTTTTAACTCATTCTTTTCACATAACCTGCGATTTTTCTCCTCCCTACTGCCCCCTTCGAAAAAACCTTTCAAAATTCTCAATATTCCTCAATTTTGCATCAAAAATCAAGCTCCAAGGTATGGATTCTTCTCTTTTCTTCGTCTTCTTTATCTTCCACCTATATTTCACCCTTTTCATGGTCGATTTTGGGGTTTTTGAGCAAACCCTAGGATTTTTTGAACTTCAAAATCTTGACCTAATGCTTGATATTTCTTGTAGGATAAGCTTGGGGAAAGCTTGGGGAAGCATTGGATATCACCCTACCGCCATTATCAAGCACAAATTGGTATAATTGTTCCAAACTCTTACTTTGTGCATTTAGATAGAACCATATTCCATTTTGGGTGATTTTTGGTGAAACTTGCTAGTTCTTGTGCATCAAAATTGTCCTAAATTGTGTGCAATACTTTGTTGATTCATTTGGGTAATGGCTTCTCGGGGTAAAAGATCTAGAATTGGAAGTTCACATGATGAACAAGATCCACACCCCATGGACAACCCTTATGAATTTGGTCTTATTTTTGAGACCAATCGACAAGAAATCTTGTATGCAAATCTTATTAACAGAATAATGGGAGCTCAAAAGTTTGTGGACATTCAAGCCCTCGAGGATTTACATATCTATAAAGGTGTCCACAAACTCTTCAAAAACATAGGATGGGAAGGTCTTTTGAATCTACATGCACTTAGTTATCAAACACCAATGTTGGAACTTTTGTCCTCAATCACCTTTGAATATCAAACCCATCTCCTTACTTTCCGTTTGCTTAATCAAACCCATCAATTTCATGCTGACATACTTTTTGATATCATTGGTGCTCCTAAAGCAAGAAGGGATGTATACACAGCGAAGGGCAGAAAAAATGTCATTTTTGAGCAAAATTGTGCAAGTTTTTGGAGAATCATCTCTTGTGAGTATGAGTATCAGTCAGGTACAGCCAAAGCTTCTAGCATTATCCATCCGGTCTTAAAAATCACCCACCGGATCATTGCTTCTCTCCTATTTCCTCAAGAAGAAATTAGCAAAGCTAATAAGAAAGAGTTAGAAGTTTTGTGGTGTATGATTAACAAGCCTGCAGAAGTCCCTCATTTTGGGTGTTGGGTAATTCAAAAAATGCTCTGAAGTGCTACGAGCAATGGTGGGCAGCTACATTGTGGAGGCATGGTTTCTATTATTGTTGAGCATCTTAGCCTCCGTCTACCCAATAACCCAACAAATATAGTCACAGGCCGTACTCATCTATCAATTGATGTTATGGAAACAATGCATCTTTTCCACCGCCTTCCCACTGGAGATGTTCATTGGATAGTAGATGGGAAAGAGTATCTACGTATTGACAGTAGAAACAAGAAGATAATCAATTTAGCCAATAACATTCCATCAACCACTTGGAAACTCAAATCCAACTTAGGTGTTGCAATAGATCATAGTCATCCACCCTCTCCTCCTCCTGTTCCTACTGCTGGTGCCTCTAGCTCATCTCATCCCATTCCTTTTCCTGAACACAATTTTGCATACTTGAACCACCGTTATACCAGCTTACAACAGGAAGTCGGAGAAATTTATACGGGTGTCGCTGAAATCACATTGATTTTCAGGACTACCGTAACCTGCAAGAAGAGCATTAGGCCCAACAAGAGTTGCGGTGGGCTGAACAGGATCAGAGATAGGTCGCTCAAGAGCAGCACAACCGCCACATTCATCACCTGCTGAGTGATATCCATAGAGTTCTTGTGCTCCCCACACAGCTGCAACAACCATCATCGTCCCAATGGCCCCCATACTATCCTGAAAATTATCCTTCACGAAACCTCCATATCCACCGCCCGGTCCTCAATAGGTCGGTTGTGCCTCTCTCCAAGCATCGAGGATGATGCTTATTTTAAGCTTGGGGAGGGGCATCCATCCATGCATTATCCCGTTGCATGTAGGTTGCATGTAATTTTGTACATATTGCATTGCATTACATTGTTTTTCTTTTTCATTTTTATTTTTCTTTGTCTTTTTTAGAAAAAAAATTCAAAATCCAAAAAAAAATCTTTCTACTCTATTTTTATTATACTTTTGCATTTTGCATCTAAATTTTTGCATTACATTAAAAAAAATGATCCAATCCCAAGCAACCAAATCTTCTCAAAACAGTTGAGATGGTAAGTGAGTTGTGTGCCTTGAGATTTAACCTGCTCTTTTTATTGAAAATTTGAAAGCAAGTTAATCACACACGAGCACATCTCCCGAATTTACTTGTGCAAAACAAAAAGTGAGAAGATTGTCAACATTGGAGCATAACAGCAGGTATGAGTCAATTCAATGTCCCGAGCTTTCCAGCGCTCTTAAAAGTCCTTTCTACTCATTCCCTTTTACATACCCTGCTTGGGGACATATTTCAAACTATACCTACGGGTCTTTGCATGTTGACCTTTAGTCCCCTGAAAAATGTCTAGAAGTTCCTCATGGTAATATACCGTGAGATGTCCCACCATAGAAAAGTCAAGGACAAAAATATAAAGAAATTGGCCAAATAAATAAATAAATAAATAAGAGTGTTATGTGTTAACTTAAATATTTGTATATGTGTAGATTAAAATAATAAAAATAAATAAACAAATAAACTATTATTAACTTAATTTGTGACCTTTGGGATTCGTACAAGTAAACTCTGAGGGGTGTTTTATACCTAATCGCCTAAAGCTGAATAGTTTGGGACTGATTGAGTTGAAAATTTGTTACATGGGTTCCATAGAAAGTCATGAACTTAATAATAGCAAATAAAGCTAATCTATGGCCTTTGAGGTTCGGGCAAGTAAACCTACGGGATCTCTTTAGATCTAGCACGCTAAGGTCATTTCGTTTGGATGTGTTGGTTGGAAGCCCGTTACACGGATTTCAAAGAAAGCCATGAGCTTTATTTGTAAAAAAATTGTAATTAGGAAGTTTGTATATAATTGTGTTTATAGTTTAATTGAATATTGTGTTTAGGAAAAATACTTGGCTGTCAAAAGATTCCCTTGGACTTGGATTTGAACTTATGACAATGGACTGAATGTTAATTACTTTGACTGGTGTAAGTGGTTTGAAATTTGTAACCAATCTGGATAAATATTAGGGAATTTTTAGAAAAGATTTTTCAGAAAAAGATTGTTGTTGACCAACAAATAGCTGGAATCGTACATTGTTATATTTTATGAAACAAAGATGGTTGAGCATGTTTTGTCACATATAATTTCACGAGAGTAAGACCATAATTTGTTCCAGGAATCGACTTGATGATATTGAAAAGGAATAAGTGTTGTGATCTTTGATTCTGTTGAGTTGTATTAAGGAGTGGCCAAAGTCTTGTTTCTACTATCATATAATATTTTGAGGCTAAAAGCCAAGTTAACTCAAGGCATGATAGGTACATTCTTAACTATGGTACAAAATAGGGTAATTGGGTTGGATCTTTTCATGTTTTTTTTTTATTTCATGCATTAAGTTTCAAATAGTTTTAACCTTAATCTTTTTTTTTCTATTCTATTTTATTTTCTCTAGTTTAAATCTTCTTGTTCTTTCTTGAGGACAAGAAAGGTTCAAGCTGGGGTAGATTTGTTAGGTGCATTTCATGCATTCGTTTTGAAGTTTTAGTTCATAAAAGTGCATTGCATTTAGGTTTAAACTCATGCATTTTGCATATTTTTCGGGATTTTTCATGATGCAATTCCATTCACACACTTTTATGATATTTCAGGGATTTTGAAGGTTGGATCTTGATGAGGGAAGTTAAAAAGAGTTGGAGACAAAGTTTCAGAAGTTTTGGAGCATTGAAGAGAGAGAGAGAACGAAGAAATAAAGAATTTGGCTTCACATGAGTTTACATGGCCGTGTAAATGATAACTTATAGTTTACATGTGCCGTATAAACGCATATACATGAGCATTCTACTTCAAAGGCTTGGACGAATTGAGCATTCTACTTTTCTAGTTTACACGGCCATGTAAATGGCACCCTTTAGTTTACACGGGCCGTGTAAACATCTCGGCAGTTTTAAAGTAGTTTTACTCTCATATTATTCAGACAATCAGTTTAGTGGGAAGTTAAGTCGGATTTTGGCAGAGAGAAGGCGATTTTCAGAACTTTTGGAAGTAGATTAACACTTGGAAACACTTCAATTTCCTTTTTGTAAGTCAATTTGAAGTTTAAACTTGTTTGATTTGTAGTTTAACCTAGACATGTGTGGTTGATTTCATTATCATTTCCAAATCTGAATTCTTAAGTATGTGTTATTAGATTGTAACTTGAACTTGATTTGTGTTTAACATCTAGTAATCTTTGATTTGATCTTAATCATGTGTTTGGTTGATTCTCTTTTTCACTTGATCAACGAATTAGGGTTTTTATAAATCTAGTTAATCAAATTGTAAAATTCGTATATGTTTTATGATTTGATGTTAGTAACATGCACTTAATTGATTGTAATTGAATCAAACTGAGTGTAATCAAAGATTAAATGTTCATAATCCCAAGCTTATGAGGAATATTGAATATTGTTGGTAATTGTTACAAGAACTTAAAGTCATTTAATGATTTGATGAAAGCGCTTATTTGAATTAAATCAATTAAATGAAGTTTTATTTGAAGAACAAGTTTTGAATAAAACAGTTTTGTCAACTTGGATATTAGAGTTTATTAGTATCTAAATTACCAACCTAGATAGAACATAATCATATTCATTTTGCATCTTTCAACATAATACATGTATAAGAATGAGAATCGGAAATGTAGTTATTTTATTAAATTCTATTAATAATCTTGTTTATTTATGAAGTTTAAATCTAAATTAAACACAAGCCCCCATTTTAATATTATTTGTATTAAGTGTGAAAATATGGCAAGATAAGAAGTCATGTATCCCTGTAGACCGACCCTGCTTACTCTATACTATCTTTAGTATAAGAAATAGCAGTGATTTGAGCTTTATTAATATTATTTTTATCCCATTATTTGTTTGTTTGACAACAAAACATGCACCTTGACATTCCGGGAGTTCAGAGTCTGTGGAGCTCCAGATTTTCATTGGGCTAGGGACCCCATTGCTAGCAGCAGATGGTTGGTTGATGCTGCCAACACTTTTCGTACGAGCCGGTGTCCCAAGGAGGACAAGGTCCGACTTGCCTCCTATCTTCTAAAGGATAGATCACAAGATTGGTGAGAGAAGGTTAGACATGCCATTGGTGATGATGATGCGTTGGACGCGATGACATGGAGTGATTTCTCGGCCAGGTTCAGAGCTGAGTTTGCACCAATTATTCATGTGCAAGAGTTGGCACGGGAGTTCCAGGATCTTCAGCAGATGAATGAGATTGTGGCGGATATCACTACCAAGTTCAGAGAGAGGGCTCTTCTTGTTCCACAGTATGTCGCTTATGAGGAGATGAAAAAGGCCCGGCATAATGAGATGCTGAGGAGTGACATCAGGGAGTTTATAAGCAGGTCCAACTGCAAGACGCTAGGGACATGATTGCTCGGTCCAGAGAAAGGGAGATTGATATGGAGCAGATCAGGAAGAGGAGGCCAGATGAGATTCAGGTACCCACAGGTTCGGGAAAAAGGCCTAAGGGGTTAGATTCGAGAGCGAGGGATTATCAGAGCCGCAGCCGATATAGGAAGTGTGGCAGAACGCACGAGGGTGAGTGTAGGAGTGATAGTGGTGGTGATTCTGGCTGCTTCAAGTGCGGCCGAACTATTCATTTTAGCAAAGATTGTACAGCTACCACCACTCAGGGGTCAGACCTAATATGTTTTCATTGCAGTCAGCGGGACCACATGAAGGCCCAGTGCCGAGTTTGCTTTCGGTAGGACAGGTGATAGTACCCGCCCCTGTGACTTTGAGGATCACCAATAGCCGTCAGGGCCGAGCAGCGGCGCCTGCGGTGGGAGGCAGGGCTTTTTAGTTGTCTACCATGGAGACACGAGCAGCACCGGACGTTGCAGGTGTGTATCTTTTGTTCCCCTGTTAACTTTTATTCATGATTTTATGCTTATGGTACTTGTTAGGTGCATTTCATGTACCCATTTTGTAGCTTTATTTCAAAAAAGTACATTGCATATAGGCTTAAACTCATGCATTTTGCATGTTTTTCGGGTTTTTTCATGAGGCAATTTCATTAAAATACTTTTGTGATATTTCAAGGACTTTTGGAGGTAGGTTATTGTTGGAGGAGGTAAATAAAAGTTGTGGACAAAATTTCAGGACTTGCAGAGCACTGAGGAGCAAGATATCAAAGAAATAAAGATTTTGGCTTTACAGAGATTTACACGGTCGTGTAAATGCAAGACTTGCGTTTACGCGGGCCGTGTAAACTTACACATAAGGGAATTTTACTTTGAAGACCTGGAAGAATTAAGCATTCTACTTTTCTTGTTTACACGGTCGTGTAAATGGCACCCTTTAATTTACACGGGCCGTGTAAACGTCTCGATAGTTTTAAAGTGGTTTTATCCTCTTATAATTCAGACAATCGGTTTTGTGGGGAGTTAGGTCGGATTTTGGGCAGAGAGGAGACAATTTTCAGAGCTTTTGCAAGTAGATTAACACTTGAAAACACTTTAATTTCCTTTTTGTAAGTCAATTTGAAGTTTAAACTTGTTTGATTTGTAGTTCAACCTAGACATGTGTGGTTGATTTCATTATCATTTCCAAATCTGAATTCTTAAGTATGTGTTGTTAGGTTGTA